GAGTAGACTGATCTTTTGAAAATCTGAATACTCTAATCCTGATCCTTTGTGGAAATGTGAACAATCATTGTTTAGGAAAGTGGAATTAAATTAAATGTTTCAATAATTGACCTAATGTTATATGATTTAAGAATGAAAATAATTTTCTGGTAAATTCCTTAGGCATTAGTTTTACTCTTCAGCAACCAACACCAAGATTTTATGATCCTTCAGTAAACTACATTTCTTCTTTCTTTCCTTTTCGCTTGAAGTATCAGGCTTCAATCCTTTTCATGATATAGAATTACTACCCCCATACCCAATCCTTCGTCTATTCTAGCACTCCTACAGACAAGGAGAGACTTAGGAGTGTGTCAGTCAAGAATCATACCTGAACATCCCACGTGGCTGGCGAGCATTCCAGTATTAAGCTACGTCATTTCAATAAAATCAACTATCCCACTCTATTTCCGACCTCAGACATATTACATCATTCAAGAAACCAAGTTTTCCTCAAATTTCTCCCAGGATCAGAGACATGTTGTTATGTTTTCTCTTTTGTTGTTTTTAAGCGGTAAAATCAACATAAATGACTCTGTGTATTCTAATAATAAAACTCTAATGCAAAAATGCTTGTGCGTTGACGGTTCAGTGGTAGAATGCCTTCCAAATATGCATCCTGTCCAAGTTCGATTCCAGGTTGGCGCACTCTTAATTCGCACTTAAAATAATGCCATATCTAAGGGTATGCAAACAGCACAAATGACAAAGTGAATGAAAGTGTAAGCACTGATGAAAAGACACTTCCAACTCCCTACTAAATCATATAAAAGAAGATTTTAGAGAAGATTTACTCTTTCCAGGGATATCATTCACAAACTGTACAACCGCAAAATGTAATGCATTTCCATATCAGCAAAGGGAATGTGTTCAGAGATATTTAATCAAGATTGTGGGTCTTAGGCAGTGCAGTACAAATTGGAACATTTGGTTGACTTTGGTGAATGAGAGAAATCGCAAACCTACTTCAGCGCCATTAACACAGTACTCTTAAGCCTTATCGAAGGAGTAAGAATCAAAATACTCCATACGCTAAAGGTATGACAATCCACATTTTAATTCCTGAACTCTGTATACTGAAGAAGGTTGTTCAGTAACTGAACCTAAATTGCACTTGATTAACCTCAACATTTTTATTTATTTATTATTCCATAGTGCTTCAACAACATACATCCACTTTCTTCTATTTTCTGCTATCCTCTTCAGCTGGTTAGCTCCACAAATGATCATAATCTCTCATCTCCTCCAACTCACACAATCTCCTTTATGTCATCCTCGCTTCGACGACCCGCTCGTCGCTTCCAACTGGTATTCCACTCGGGTGATGGCCTGCACTGCGCGCAATGTCACTCGACGTCCTCCTCAACGTATCCTCACCTAGTTAACTAGCTTGCCAATTTTCCAGTCGGTCTCGAGCCCGGGTAAACAGAGAGAGGTAGGCGTGGGGCTAGCAACCCTACACTACAAAGGCAATAAAACTGCTAGAGAAACTTCAACGCACACAAATCTCAACATTCGATACGTGATTTCTGCTGATCCAGCCTTTTTTCTTCCTTTCCACAGCAATATTTTTGCTGCTTTTGACACTGAACTTAGCATGACCCTATTTCAGTTTTAGTTGATTTTAATCAGTCCTGTGGATTTTAGAGGGTCACTCGATTCACTTGTTTAATTTTACTTTAGTTTCTGCCTGACTAATAATTTCTGTATTACGTAATTGTTACCTAAAAGTTAATCTTCATGGAATATCTTTGGAAACATTACTTTTGCTGATGTGATAAAGTATTACTGATATATATATATATATATATATATATATATATATATATTGATTGCACAGTTTGAAAATAATGTCGCTGAAAAGAGTAACTTTTCGCTAAAATTAAAATGGCTATGATGCTCGATAGTGACTTGCTACAGGATGGAGTTTCCTGGAGTTCCAGTGAGAAGTTATGACCAGTGGGGTCCATCCAGTGGGGAGTGAGGATGGATTTCCCACCGACGACATTGTTTGGTAGTCGCTCTAGAAATCACGTAATGGTAGAAGCTAGAATTTATGGGCTGGCCATTGAATTGGGTCTCAGTGAATGAATGTTATTCAAGCTTGCCTGGTAAGTGTAAGGTCCTGGGTTCGAGCTCCAGTGGTTGCGTACTGCCAGTGATTCCCGAAATAGTTTGAACCAGCTGTCCAGTATTCCTTGGTTTTCAATGGTTTCCGATTTGATATCATTCCGTGTTTAAACTCGAAAAATAAAAAATATTTACTTGAATATTTGAATGGTAGTAGAGAAAATATTGTAAGATTAACGCATCCGAAATATGAACATCATCATTTTTCGCTTAAGTTACCATCACTTTATATATTTTTCGAAGTAGAAAACAAGCAGAAATAGGAGAAGACAGAAAACTCTAATAAACAGTGTTAGCTTATCAGTTTACCTAGTAACTCAGTAATTTCATTAGTTTAGACGATTGAAATTCACTCAGTGAGTTAAAATCACTAATAAGGATGACTAATCGATGTAATCAAAATGCCCTTATCAAGGGAGCGGGCGATTAATCACATTCTCTTTGTGTCCTTTGTATATTATTATTATATATTATTGTATCCTTTAGTTTCTAGAGGAACATAGGGCTTCAGCTGCGCACCTCCATTGCCTTCGGTTTTCTGACAACTTTTTCACCCCGTTCCAGGTCTGTCCACATGCTTTCATCTCCTCCTCGCATGATCTCCTCCAAGTCACCCCTGTACTGACAACCAACTCGCCGCTTCCTTTCCGGGTTCCACTCTAGCAATGGCTTGTCTAGTGATGTCATTTGATGGTTTTCTCAGAGTATGGCCAATCCATCTCCATTTCTTTCTGCCTATTTGTTTCAAAATCAGTTTCTGGTTGGTTCGCTCCCAGAGATCCCTCGCTATTGCTGATCTTTTCTGGCCGGCCATCTGATCTTGAGTATTGAGCGAACACAGCTGTTGATGGAGGTCTGTAGTTTGTTCGAAGAGCTCTTTATGACTCGCCAAGTCTCTGATCCGTAGGTAGGTGAAGGAGGCTTTTTCTTTCAGGTTCCTCCCATTTATGCTGGCTGATTGTTGTCTGTTGTTGCTGTTGATGTTGGCTAGGAATCTTCATCATCTCTGTTTTTTCTATGTTCACTTGAAGTCCTATTTTTGATGCTTCTTCCGCCAACTTGTTGCTTTTCACTTGCATATCTTCCAGTTTGTGGGAAATCAGACAAATATCATCGGCGAAGTCCAGATCCTCCAAGTCTTTTGTGTCAGTCCATTTTATGCCTGTTCCCTCGTTGGTTGCCGTTGTCTGTCGCATTATCCAGCATTAAGTATTTTAAATGATTTGGAAAATTCAACAATATGCCTAGTATCGACAAGGTCTCTGGTAATTATACTATGCAAATATCTACCTCCCTTTAGGCATAAGTTTCTTAGAATACGTTCCGAGAACGGAACAGGAGCCTTTCCTCCTCTCCTTTCAATGTACTTGCCACCGCAAGTGGTCATAATTTTACAAATGCAATTGGCGTTTACATTAGTAAGGCACATAACCAACTTAAATTAGCCTTTTGACCATACGGGAGTGAATAACGTTACAAGCTTAACTCTTTGTGTTTCTCCTTTCCCTTTTGAATGGAAAACAGACAGAAAAGTTTTTACTCCCACAGTTCGATGTTTCATTTTCATAGCCATACTTCAGGATAAATCCTTTTGGATATACATCTTCCCTTCTCAAACAGTCTAATTCTTGTTTCAGCTTGATGAGTGCAAATGGCTTCGTGGACCTATTGTAGAATGTCCTCTGATAGGAATTAACTGTTCTGTAGTGAAGATATTCTCCGGTCTAATTTTCTTTCTATAGATGGACTTTTCGTTTATACCATAGTTTCTGGTGTTAACAATAAGAACCAGTAAACTGAACTCATCGTTTTATTCAATATCCCAGGGTGAATTTAACGTTAGGGTGTAGTGCCTCATTGAGAAGATCAAATAATACAGACATGAATAACTCATGTTGTTACAAATGACAAACGTATCATTGATATATAGTCTTCTATATACGATCAAATTCTACTCTCTATGTATTGTGTTCATATTAAATTATTATTATCTTTATTATTGTTCCCTTGGGTTTCCAGTGGAACATAGTGCTTCAGCTTCACATGTTCGCTTGCTTCTGTCTTCTGCTGTGCTTTTCACCTGCATCCATGTTAGTCCATACTGTTTCAACTCCTCTTCACACAATCTACTCCATGTCACCCTTGCACCGACGTCTCACTCGCCGCTTCCCTTTCGGGTTCCACTCGAGCAATGGTCTGACGCGCGATGTCACCCAGTTTCATGATGGCCACTCCCATGGTGTGCTCGTGGTTGTCCTCTGGGTGACCGGAATATATATTACTGTCTCTCCAGTTGGTAGTTGGCACCTTCCAGCTCCGTTCCATCTGCTCTCGCAGATTCCCAACACTTCTATTCTGTACCTTCTCATTTCAGCGGCTATCTGGGCAGCCTTTCCAGTTTCGTACATTGTACGAACATTCCAGGTACCCATCCATACCTTTGCTTTCATCGAAAGAAGGCACATCGGCTGACTGGCTTCCCGAAGGCTTTCACCAGCCTGCATCATTTCACTTCCCCGATTCCAGCGAAAAATAAGGTTATAGTTTATATTTTTAGAATTTTTTTAATATATATGCGCGTTGAAGTTTTTGTAGCGATTTGGTTGTTTTACGGAGTGGAGTTGCTAACACCAGGCCCTAACCCCCCTCCTTATCTGGACGTGGGACCGGCTAGAAAACTAGCGAGCTAGCAATCTAGGCGAGGTTTCATATTAAATTACCAACTACTAATTTCCTATATTGTATGTATCATATCATTTGATGAATTGAAATCAATTTTACGTGAAATAATGAAGAGTTTTTGTCTTTCTTTTCCTTTCTTTCATTTTTAGTTTGTTGCTCATCCACATTGTCAACATCTTCTAACAACACTTTGGTATGATCAACTGCCTGGTTGGCGTAAACGTCATCCATTTACAAAATTATTTCTCTGCTTCTGTTTTATTATTGCATTACCAGTATTAGCTCCAACGTATTTAATTCATCCGCATGGATGTGTCGGTCAACTGATGAGAAGTCCATTAATCAAATTTATTAATCATAGTGCATCATTTGCAATATTTATATTTCTTCTATTGATTGCATCAACTGACACACTGACACAAACTGATTTACAAATTCGTAGTGAAATTCGTGGACCAGATCCTAATGTGATTGAAATGTTAATATTATGGTGGGTTATAGGTGAGTTTAACGAAAATTTGCTTATTTTTAGTGTGTCTAAAAGTACCTAATTTTCTAATTAATAATGATAACCAGTATTTTTTTTTCATCGAGTGAAACATAGGGCTTCAAGGTCTGAGCTTCGAAGTTTCAGTAGCCCTGGTGTTGTCTCTTATTAGGCGACGTTCCCAGCTTCACTCCTAACTTGCCGTTCTTCCTCGACTAACTACCAGATATACTAGATGAGGTTTAGAAATGCGCCGTCAGGACTGCATGCGTGTCTGACGGACATTCTACCCCCGAATCACCAACACACCGATTACTGGTGTGAATTGTCCGAATCCATCTATGATCCCACTTACTGCGATACTTAGTAACACTGGTTCGAATCTCAGAGAGGAAATCATCAAATATCCCTAACTGATGAGTACAACCAAACTCCAAACACCAGCGATGCAAGCAAAGAGCCTAAGTAAATGAACGAAATAACCTTGGTCAACTAAATTAATGAGTCGACAGTAAAAACAGTCAGTTTAGGAACTCTTCTGTAGATATCAAATTCAGTGCTAAAAGTAGTTATACGAAGTAACTTTCTCGTTCGTGTCGCAAACAAGTTACTTAATTCCTTATCGGAATATTTAGTGACAACCCAAAGCTATATCTGTACATGAATTCATCCATATAACTGTGTATCTTGCTGTTTTGTGACCCATTCAGTGCTCTACAGTACCCATGAAGCTAAGAAGGAATGGCATACCTTCTCGGAAGGATTTTCGGCAGTGATAGGCTGGACATCTATACACATACCCATCTATACACATTACCTCCACAGTACTCAAATACTACCTCTTGGTAGAATTTGCAACGTAATTTACTACTGCATCTATATTTCGGCTTTTTTATCACGGGCTCAACTGATTGGTTCATCAAGGTCACTACGTTCATTTACTTGGGTCCTTCATTAGTGTCGCTACTGCTTAGAGTTGTCCAAACACGAAACCTTGGTCAAGGGTTTCCTGTTGATTGTCTTCAACCACCTGACATTGATTCTTACTTCATTATTTCTTAAATATACATAACTGGAATGTAATAAGAACAGTAGACACTGAGTACTTTGCACTTTATGACGTTCTCGCTTAGAAAACAGTCGTTACTTTTATTTGCTCCACTGAGAGCCTACTTAAGGCAGCCTTCAACTAGTTGACCATTACTGATATAGTGAATACTAACTGAAGACGAAACGGAAATAATAAGGATTTAGGCAATATTTGAACCAGTCGTCTTCAGATTAACAATTCTCTGAAGATTACACTGAAATTGAAACATGCTTTCCCATTGGTTGCAGTAACTAAGCTGTCATCTACTCCTCCATAGATATAGCCTAAAGTGCCGTAGATAAATGGAAATATTTGAAACCACTAAAACTCAAATATTTAGGTCTGAATGCAGTAAACCACTCAATGCGTTCTTCTGTATAACTTGCCAAACTTTCACAAGTAATGCACAAACCACAATTATACTTCAACAATATCAAAAACATACTCTGATTCGATAAAAGCTGCAGTATCACTGAACAATAATAACTTGTATCAAAATTACAATACTACCCCAACGGTGTTGTCCAAACGTTTCTCAGTTACAAACAACCTACTGCACAACAAAATTAATTGGCCAAGCACAACAGTGAACTATTTGAAAATCGAGATGGAATTTCCATCTCCCTTTCAGTGAGAATCAAACAGAACAGAAAACTTTCTCATTGGACGGTCAAAGGTCAAGGAATCAAACCACAGAGTAACTTTGACCTCACTCAAACAAAATCGTTGTCCTTAAAGCGGTAGTTTCTTATTAACACCATCATACAACAGCAAACAGAAGCAACCAAAAACCATGACAAGTAATAAGAATTAAATCAAACGATAAAATGCAAATGTCAGAAGAATGATATACACCTTAGCGGAAGAAACAGCTGGAATTACGAAGTTAGCTGAAATATCCAAATCAGTATAAATATTGTAAATAGACTATTGATGGTAGAATTTCCAGACCTATCATTCTGCTACAGTACTATGTGACTGAGCAATACTCACAAGTGACTGCTGGCTAAAATGAAACAGCAAAAGACGAGAGAGTTGATAAAGGATTGTTAATCTGAGATTGGGTTTCTCTGTACAGCCAAATTATGTACATCTTAACTTCAAAGCACCATTCGCACAGATCTTCCATACTGTGCTACTTCTTCTCTTCATGTTGTCTTTCCTTATGTTCCCTTCACGTCTCTCATGTATCTTCACAACGCTGTATTGTTTGCTTTCTCTGACATCAAATGTATCTCCCTGCCATTTGATGATTTTTACTCCGATGAATGTCTCTTTACATACTATTGACAAGACTTATCAGCACCACAAGCCACAATAGTGCTGAAAGATATTAATTCCTCTTTGAGATATCTCATCTACTACCTAGAAAGCAGTCTGACTTGTCTCAAAATATATAATATATCATACTTAAGTCATCTGATATATTTCAAAACACAAATAGTGATTGGTTTCCTATATTTCCCTTCAATCAATCCCATTACGGATGAATCAAGATTATTGAACATAATATCATCTTTTATATTTTCTATGAATAAATGAGCTTATGCCCCCCTGAGGTAAACACTGAAAAGCTTTTAAGCGATGTTTACAAATCTGATTTTAATCAAATTAAAGGATAAACAAAATTAAAGAATCTTTTCACTTCTATCAGCTTTTAAGTCTAGCGATAATTTTATACGAAAAACACTGTTAAGAAACCGGAAATTTCGTAACTCAGCGTATCTTCCTAATCGACACCGGAATTTTAAGCTACGTGAGTGGAGTGTTTAGATGTTATACTTCCTCTAGTTCATTATTTAGTGTTTATTTTTTGAGAAAACTGTCTTCAAATAATTACATAGAGGGAAAGAGGGCAAAGTACCCGAGGATTGGAAGAACGGATACTTATTCAAACTTCCAAAGAAAGGAGACTTAAGTCAATGCAAAAACTGGCGTGGAATTATGCTTCTGTCCATTCCAAGCAAAATACTAAGCCGCATCATCCTGGAGAGAATCAAACAAGCCCTGGATGAAAAACTTCGTCCGGAACAGGCCGGATTCAGGAGAAACGAATCATGTATTGATCAAATCGCCACTCTACGGATCATCATTGAACAAAGCTTGGAATGGCAGTCACCTCTCTATCTCAACTTCATCGACTTTGAAAAGGCCTTCGACAGCGTCGATCGAGAGGTCATTTGGAAACTACTTCGCTATTACGGGGTGCCATCGACAATTATACATCTCATCCAACAGTTATACGACAATGCTGCATGCCAAGCAATCCACAACCGGAAACTTACGGAAGCCTTCAAAGTGAGGACGGGAGTGAGGCAAGGCTGTCTACTATCACCAATGATCTTCCTGATTGCAACTGATTGGATAATGCGACAGACAACGACAACCAACGAAGGAACAGGCATAAAATGGACTGACACAAAAGACTTGGAGGATCTGGATTTCGCCGATGATATTTGTCTGATTTCCCACAAACTGGAAGATATGCAAGTGAAAAGTAACAAGTTGGCGGAAGAAGCATCAAAAATAGGACTTCACGTGAACATAGAAAAAACAGAGATGATGAAGATTCCTAGCCAACATCAACAACAACAACAGACAACAATCAGCATAAGTGGGAAGAACCTGAAAGAAACAGCCTCCTTCACCTACCTGGGAAGCATCGTCTCAACTACAGGCGGAACTGATGAGGATATCAAAGCCAGAATCGGAAAAGCAAGACAAGCTTTCATTACTCTCAAATCTGTGTGGAGGTCAACAGCACTCAGCATCAAAAATAAGATCCGGATTTTCAACTCCAATGTGAAGTCAGTGCTACGATACGGATCAGAGACTTGGCAAGTCATAAAGAGCTCTTCGAACAAACTACAGACCTCCATCAACAGCTGTGTTCGCTCAATACTCAAGATCAGATGGCCAGAAAAGATCAGAAACAGAGATCTCTGGGAGCGAACCAACCAGAAACCGATTGTGAAAAAAATAGGCAGAAAGAAGTGGAGATGGATTGGCCATACGCTGAGGAAACCATCAAGTGACATCACTAGACAAGCCATTGCTCGAGTGGAACCCGAAAGAGAGGCGGCGAGTTGGTCGTCCAAGGGTGACTTGGAGGAGATCATGCGAGGAGGAGATGAAAGCATGTGGACAGACCTGGAGTGGGGTGGAAAAGTTGTCAGAAAACCGAAGGCAATGGAGGTGCGCAGCTGAAGCCCTATGTTTCTCTAGGAACTAAAGGATACAATAATATATAATAATAATATAATAATAGTTTATAAAGTATAACTACTACTCATTTCGCTCACGCCATTACTGCAAAAGGTTTGCAAAGAGGGATAGATACCCATCGATTTGAAGAAGGGCCACCTCATCAAGCCACCGAAGAATGGTGACTTAGGCTTCACTCTGCAATAACTGGCGTGGAATAATGCTCTTGTCCACACACACCAAGTAAAATACTAAGTCGCATTATCCTGGAGAGAATAAAGGATGCACTGGATACAGAACTCCACCTCGTCAACCTGAAGAAGTTGGATCCAGGAAAGGCAAATTACGACTCTACGCATCGTTACCAGAGAAAAAGCATAGAATGGCAGTCGAACTTCTGCCTTAACTTCGTCAGTTTCGCAAAAGTCTTCAACAGACAGCATTGACTGAGAAGTAACTTGGAAACTGCAATATCAAAATCTTTATCAACCTTATTAAACAGCTGGCTGTATGACAATGCCACGTGTCAGGTGATCCACGATGGGATACTCAGTAAGCCGTTCCAAATGAATACAGGAGTAAGACAAGCCTGTTGCCTGACAATTATTACCGATGAGATTCTTAATTGTGGTGGACTGGATTATGCGTCACATTGTCCATGGGGTCGAGAAGACAGCAATACGCTCGACGACCGACAAGAAGACTGTAGAATGTGGATTGACTGAAGGGGCTGGAACCGAAGACAGGACTCCAGGTGAACACAGAGAAGAGAAAGGCGATAAAGATAACAAACGAACCGGAACAACAACACTAGCACCAACCACCATCAACGAGAGAGATTCAAATGAGGTTACGTCCTTCACTTATCTAGGAAGCATCGTTTCAACTACAGGCGGTTGTAACGGTTGAAGATGTCAAAGCTAGCCAGCCAGAATCGGAAAAGCGAGATACGCCTTCATCAACATAAAACCATTTTGGAAATCTCCTGCTCTCAGCCAGCATAAACAACAAGATTCGGGTTCTGTTCAACACAAATGTGAAGTAAGTTAGTTCTTCTCTGCGGGTCAGAAACTTGGCATTCGCATCACACAAAGAATTTACAACAAGTTGCAAACTTTTATCAACAGCTGCCTTTGCTGACTCCATACTGAAGATCGAAATGCCAGAAGGAATAAGCAGCAAGCAAGCAAGCAAGAGACGATCGCTCAATAAATATGTAGGAGTAAGTGGAGATAGATCGAGTATAAATTAAGGAGATCGTCGAATGACACCCCACTTAATGCAGGCCACTGTTCGAATAGAATCCAAATGGGAAGCGACCAATGAGTCGTCGGTGCTAGAGTGACATGGAGGAGTTTGTGTAAGGAAGAGATGAGAGAGTTTAGGCAATCGTGTGGCCAGTCAGCTGAAGAGAATGGCAGAAAATAGAAGAAAGGGGAGATGTGTTTTTGAAACCCTATATTCCACTTCAAACCCAAGGGAGCAATAATATTCAGTTCACATTTTCATACAATAATATAAAAATGGTTTTTTCTGCACAAAACTAACCCATCTTACCTTAGATGTACAACTTATAAAATTCCATCCACTAAATATTAAGAAGCGAAAAAGTATTTGACAACAAATGAGATTTTCAGCAAAGTGATCTTCTTGGCGTCACAAAACGTGATTCCAATAGGCTACAGACTTTCAGCAGGTGCCTCGATGCCTCGATACCGAAATTTAAATAGCCGGCTGACTAGAAAAGGTAACTTACAAGAAACTCTGCCAACAAAGCAATTGAGAACCTTACGCCAACAAAGATGAAGTGTACATACATTGAGAAAACTGTTGAGTAATGCTACGCACCAGGCTCAGGTCTTGGGTGGAACCCGAATAGGAAATGAAGATTTAGGCGTTGGTCTACAAGTGATGTGCAGGAGATCATGTGAAACGGGAGGAAATGAAAGCATTTGAGCATTCATGGCACAAGAGACCAGAGTAAAACAGGAAATGTACTGCTGAAGTTCCATGTTCCAAATGGAACCTAAGGGAACAATAATATTCCCAGCAGCAATACAATCGCAATCTCTTTTTTTTTTTCTCAAAGGCAGCACAGTTACGATTAGTATTTAATTGAAGTTATTAAAAAATGTGAAAATCAAAGGATATTAAAACTAGAACGATAAAATATATATACATATTCTGACTATACAACTAATTTGGACATAATCGCCAAGAAACTGCATCTTCTCTGAATTTCTTGTCTTCTCTATACAAAGCAGATGTCTCAGGTGATACATATTTCTCACAGTAAAAAGCTAATTCTGCTAACGTATGAAGAAAATCTCGTTTCTGTATGTGTATTTCACGTGATTTTAATATTCAGTCTTCTTCACCTGTTTTTTTCATTCTGTCTATTGTCAACTTTTCTTTTAGGATTTGTATGGAGTGAAATGAAGCAAATCTGGGAAGAAGGCCTTAAAGCTTACGTTCGTCAATGGTGGAATTGGCTAGATTTTTTAATGCTTGGACTTTATTTAACTACTGTTGCACTTCGTGTAGTCGCAGTACTCTTGCGTAAAACTAACCAATATGGAACAGAATCATTACCACGGAATCAATGGCCGCCAACTGATCCAACTTTACTTAGTGAAGCTCTGTTTTCTATTGCACATATATTTAGTTTTGCAAGAATTATATTTCTTTTTCAGGTAAGCAATTTATTTTTCATTCTTTTTGTATTTTCTAAGTGGAACATTTAGCTTCAAGTTTTGAAGTTTAAGTAGCAGTGGTTGTGATTTTGTTTATGGAGTAGGATTGCTAAACTTGCATTCAACTCTTACTCTTTACCCAGCTTACTATCGGCTATCGACTTTGGAGAGGCTTAGAAGTATTTTTAATATGGGTTACTAATCGACTTCATTTAGCGAACTACTGAATACCTTGGAGTACTGGACATCTGCTTTGTCTAAGTCCTAAAAACTCTTCAGTAGAATGCGCCCACCACTCCATCAGGGACCTTCAGGTTACAAAGTGAGCTCAACGACCATTCAGCCACCGGGACGGAATTGAGTGGCCCATGAATCCTAACTTCACACAATTCACAGTGTAGCGTGATCGCCAGCCAATGTCACAGGTGAGTGTCTGCACATACGCCCAACTTAGTTGACTGCTCTGATTATGACTTACCACCACACTTTCAGCCAATTTCATCTGGTAGTAAGTCAGCAGTAAGCATTAGATTGATTTTCAAGTGTTGGTTTGCAGTGGTTAGGAGTCTGTTGAATGGGAATCGAAGGTGGACCACTTCCGTATCTGGCGGATATTTTACCACTGAACCACCGACTACATTAAATTTCAGTAAATAGATCATGTGTTTCAATTTGACAGCTTTACTATTGGTCAATGAACTTCAGAAAAAGTAAAATCATAGTTGGCAAGGTATCCCAATACAAAAGATAATTGTTTATGACATTTTAGTAAACAAAACACCACTTCCAGAGAAAATAAACTAACTACCTAGAGTCTTCAGTTATTCCGTACAGTCATTGGATCCCAAAATATGCTCCTGACTTATATTTTTAATTGTCTTCCAACAAAGTGTTTCACATTCCTTGAAGAGGACAAAGAAAAAATATTATAGGAGATTGGTTTACACTTTGTCATGCAATCTGCTGCCAACTACTATTATACTTGAGCATCCTGAAGCAAGAGGAACTATTATGCAGAAAATTCCACTGAGACTTTTGTTTATTATATAAACACTGTCCAGAATGAAACCACTATTATTTAGTGCTGTTATCATCGCTAAAGACCGACAGTTCTTCGAATTTTTCGCTTACTGTGAATTTAATTATTTGATAAAATTAACTATTGAATACATTATCTGACATAGTTTTAGTAGTCTCACCAGAAAATGGTCCTTGCGCAGATTCAAAAGAATATCTACATGCTAGTTAGCAGACTGAGCATTATTCGATAGTCTCAGTGAGAGGATATTTCCTCAGCTGACAATGGTCAACAGTCTTTCAATGTATAAATCATTCGAGTGTTGTTAGATAGCACTAATGTTTGATCTAAATGGTGAACTACTAAAGGTACATTGTTTAATAATCCCACTTTTTATATCGACATTAGACATGACCTTAAGTAGATCACATATTGTGGATTTACAGATGCAACTGAAGCAAAACATTAATACACTAATCAGTACCACGTGTTACGCTTATTGTCATATTTACTTCTGTGTGTCTAATGGTGATAATAAACGCACTATCTCAAACGTTCGACTGAATGGAACTGCCTTTACATAAAAAAGAAACATTAACTTGACATGTAGATTCAATCTTTCCTGTCTCTTCTTCTAATGAAGACATAAAATATGTTCTTCAATAGCCTAAATAAATTATGTCTATCTTTTTGGAAAATCACTTCCTTGTTTAACTTGGTTATGGGAATTAGTCGACATTTTGTGTCGCCTGAACATTATACTTGATTTAATATCTGTAAATAGTCTTAACCTGCATGAAACTCATGGAAAAAGTCCACTAGTTAGTTCTTTGCTTCATATTTCACATGATTTACCTAATATATATGTATATATATTATATGGCGGGATAAACAAGTACCTTTTAGTTTGTGTCCTTAGGAAAATCAGGCAGATATCCAATTCGCAGAATGTTACTAAATGTATGCCGAAATTTACCTATCAATAAACTGATGGATGTTATCGTCACTAATATCACATTCCATATCAAATTCTATTTCGATATGTTCTTTCCAGACGTAAACATTTTATAATAATGATAGCTTTATTTCGGATAATGTATATATAATGGACAGAATTTTCAGCGGAGTTTATGTCATGGCATCTTCTTTTCGTCGACGATCTTCAGATGAAATATTAGTCGGTTGGGGGATTTCATCATGAGCTGACATCATTTAGAGAACCACTAGAAAACCTGGGAGTACTGGATGACAAGCAGTTTCGTTCCTATCTGGGGTTCTTCACTAGTACGCACCCACCGGGTCCCAAACTAGGACGAAACAGCTGTTCAATACTCCCAGGTTTTCCGGAGGTTCCCTTACTGACTTCAGCTGATGATGAAATCCTCCAACCAATCAAACAAACAAATCCCTATGAAACCAACACTTGAAATATTAATTGACACTAGATCATGTGACACAGTCGTGTCTGGCCTGAAGCGCAAATTAACCCATTATGATATTTCTCATTTGTCTCCTTAAAGAAATACATGACATTCTTTTGGAAGCTAATTTAAAAAGGTGTTGGATTACAATTTGAGACCTAAGGATATAATTCAGGATAAGCCGCCTCATGTATTGGGATACGTTACCACCTACGATTGTGTTTTTTCTGAAGTTTAATCGCGACTTACAAATCAACAGTCCGTAAATATTTTAAATACTCAGAAGGGTAAAAAATACTGTCAGACATCATATTTTAATAGATTAAAACAAAGCGAACTGGGAAAAATATGCGTAATATAATAATGGAGGTTGTCAATAGCACAACTTTCAAAGAGTTCCCCACATCCACCAATTCTTAAAAAACTCAATCCTTTATAAGAAGCCTAGAAAACACGAAAAACAGATGTATAAGATAATGATAGCCTCATCGTTAAGCGTATAAACTCCATCAAGTTAAATTTTAGACTAATTACCACTAATTCTTTTGTTTCCTTAAAACAATGAAGATAAGATGTTTACTTATACGTAAGTCTTCAAAAAACACTGTCAGTGATACAAAACAGGTTGATTACAACTGCGACAGGTGTCATTTTGATGCCACTGTTGTCTTTTACCATGACGATATTTCCAGCCTAAGCAAAGATACCACGTTTGGCCGCCAGGCCGTTGAGGCTACATATTCGATTTTGATTCTATCCGTAGGGCAGCTCTTGAACTGAAAGTTGAAATTAACTTTACTTATTACCGTAACAAGTTATCCATTGATTTTTGTCAGATGAACAATTTTCGATGTAGAATTGACCAGTTGCCTATTGAAAATGGTTTCAAACCAAAATAACATTTAAACACGAAACTGTTAAGTTTGATTTTATATTTTAATAAGACCTGCGTATGCTGTTTCATTCCCTTGTATTTCTAAAATCTTCATGGTTCTAAAAGATTAATTCAAAATTTAAACCGAATGTCGTCTGTCTTGATCGAGTTTTCAAGTGTTGGTTTGTAGGGATTTGATTGATTTGTTACAGGATTTCGTTAAGAGCTGACATCGGCTAGAGAACCATTGAAAAACCAGCTGGGAGTACTGGACAGCTGTTCCGTCATCCTAGTTTGGGACTCTCCATCAGTACGCACCCACTGGTATTCGAACCCAGGACCTTCTGGTTACAAGGCAAGTTCACAGACTATTAAGCCACTGGGATGTAGCCTAATGGCCAACCCATGAATTCTAACATTTGCCAATCGATCAAATTTTATTTTTCTGTTCTTTATCATTCAGATTACATCTCACTGAAATCCTAAACATCATTCGTCTGGGATAGCACATAAAATACCTGGCAATCTAATGTATAACTCATTCGCCAACTTCGTAACTTGTCAAGACTTGTGTCTTTTCTTCAGTAGTGGGTTTCCCTCTACAGCTACATCCCAAAAATGTGTCATTAATATTGTAATTTTTAGGTAACAGTTAGGTAGTACAAAAAGCATTAACTGGGTATAAAATCAAGTAAATAAATTTCGTGATGTAATGCAGTTGGAATGATTGGGTACCATTTGAACTCAAATTGAAAGTGAGTTAAGTTAAGATCAGTGTCATAGGGAACAGAAATTTTTAAAAGTACTGGGAATATATATAATTACGTATTATATGCTGAAATAAATTGAGTAATTTTCATCGATCCTTATCTTCTAACTTTTTCAATTTTATTATTTTTCTCCCTTGCCACTACCCCATTTCTATGCTTTATGACACTGATTTTAAGTTGATTTTCTTTCAGTCTTAGACGAACTGTACTCATTCTTGTCAGTTATATAACGTCACGCAATTTACTTATTTAATTTTACTTTAGTTTCTACCCGATTAGTGCTTTCTGTATGACGTATCTAAAACTTGCAATTTTAATGACACATCTTTGGAGAAATTTGCATATTTCACGCACTTTCCTTATTTTCTGCATTATTTTATTCAGAGTAGTACTTTGAAACTTGTTAGTGAAGTTCCTGATTTGTCTTCAATTTAAGCAGCTTATCTTGTCATTGACAAAAGCTTAAATTCAAGCCATGACTTGGCCGCTATCATCCTACCAAGCAGTGAACATCATACTATTCATCATACTATGTAGCTCAGGTGGATGATTTGGACGTGGTTGTGTTCTCTGAGCTGGATAGTTAATTTGCGAAGCTTTCATCGCCCTACTAGGTGACATCTTCAGCGAATACTTCAATTTGTTGAAGTGAGCTTTTAGGTTTCCCCACGAGTTTATCAGTCATCTCTCCTGGTGACCTTGGAAGCGATTGGTCGTTTTTGTGTGTTTTCACACCTTCTAGGTTACGTGTATTGGAACTGGCTGTTTCTTTGACTTGAACTTTCACCCTTTGTGTGTAAGGACGAAGGCTGTGAAGACAAAAGGGACGTCCCCTTCGTCTTCGTATCCACGAACATAGGCTAGCCGTCAAAAGAAATGATATCCACTCCCTCATATCACTACATACAGACAACCAT